AGAAAAAGTTTAAGACGAGAAAACGCGCAGCACAAAACCAGTTATGATAAAATGTTGCTACAACGATTCATTATTCGTAGGYCTTTCGTAAATCACTACCTAAAGCTAATTGGTGCTTATTATACACTGAATGCAAAGTCAAAAAGCAATTTAAAAGTAAATATAAACTAATCCCTAAAAAGAACGTCCTTAACGACAGAATGGTCGACGAACGAGCATGTTTTCACAAAAACGGAGTTACCTAAGAAACTCACAAAAAGGCGYCTTTAATTTGCAATAAATGCTTTTCATTACAGCCTATTAACAAACTATTTCACTAATAACGCAAATTGGAGAAAACTTAGGCTAAAAATAGCAGAAAAACGCTTCAAAGTTAACGTTTTACTCTCCAAATAAACTGTTTCAATCAATTTTCTTTTGTAGTTATCTTAAACAAACGCGTCCGGTTCATCTTTAGATGTACTGCCTTTTGTGGACACAGATTAATTGTGATTGATAAATTTGAATTTCTGTTCTGTCATATCAGACCTTTTTGTGTGTTCTCTGTTTGATGGCTATGAAAAGGATACCCCATGCCACATTTGATCTTTTGTGTACTTTCAAGAGCATATACCCATTGAATTATGAAACATAAAGACTTTTGAAGAGAGCTACGCGATAAAGAACAATGTAACTGCAAAGCATAATCTGATAGAGTTTTCAGTAGTCAAACCTTAAAGGTTAAAGCATTTTCGGTGTCTGTACAATAGTTAAAAATAGTCTGATTTTTCGCACAAGATTCTTCGTAAGCAAGCGCAAGTGTTWTATTTTTAGTACGGACTTCTCAGATTTGACGAGCGAATGTAATTAAAAGGCGAAGCCAGTTTTTTGTCTGGATTACACTAAAAAGCGAATACTTGCTAGGCTGCACTTAATTGCCGTGGTTAACAATACATGAGCTAAAAAGTCAATTCAAGGTTTAAAGTTTTAGTGTTTTGAGGCTTTGTTTGATCAATTTTCCCAGCTCAACATTCGACGTATACTAAGAACTTGAATTGGCAGTGCAACAAATCGAGAATTCATCTAAGATTTTTTCGTCAAGATCAATTAGACGCATATTGATTTGGTCAAAAGTTTGCTTTACACATATATTACTAAATTATGGTTGATTTTAATTGATCAACAATATCATTATGAAGAAATTATGAGATTGCACTGTACACTCCTTAACGAGCTGTTGATGAATTCATTGAAATCGACTGTATCAATGTAGCATTCATCGGACATTTCTCTTCCAGTATTTCATTTAGTTTTTTTTTCTTCGACCTCAAGAAAATAGACAATAAAATGACAAAATTATGTTTTCTTAATGGAACTCAATAGCGAGTAGTAATAGTGTCGTTAATGCTCAGATTACGTTCGTTACCGTATCTAATTGTACTCGCATTCTAGTCTAGAACAAACCCGTTGACCAGCAACGRGCTTGGACTGCTCTAATAAAAGTGTTGTGGAATATTCAAGTTCATTTTACAAGAACTATTACACAGAGAAGATCCAGTAATGCAGCCAACAGAGCACTACCACAGYCCGTTGTATTCTCCTTATTCTTCAGCMCCTTGCTACCTTTGCTTGTACGARAGACAYGCTTCRGCTGTATATAGAAGGCCACCATGGGCAGTGCCCGAAAGAACCTCAGAATCACATCTCAAATATTCCGTSGGCTCTATGCTTGGGATGTCACCCCATGCTGGGGCCCGACATCTACCTATAGGATACTGGGTACCCCACAGCTCGATGCATCCTCAAGACTGGCCGAGGAGACCTATRGGAAGCCTTGGGGGTAGTGAGAGAGATCGCGACAACGAAGAGGAAGAAAGTAGTAATACTAAAATGGTGTCTAAAGGTGAGAGGAGGTTAGAGGGGATAGGCTGGATCTTAACACTCAAGTATAAATCCTTTGGGTTTAGCGTCAAAAGGAAAAAGTTCGCAGTTTAATACTAAACAGTTCTTTTTAACTCTAGTCTTTGATTAATAAGATTATAATTCCATCAGCAAAAATTATAGATTTTATCGTAACTATAAGTGTGAAAAGATTCATGGTTGCGCCAAAACTACTGAAGTATAGCAGCACTAATTATGATCTTCTAAATTTTTGGCTGTAACTTATAACAAAATGTGTTGCTATGAAAGAAGAGATAGCGAGCGTTAAACTTGACTGTGTGAGACTTGATTGAGTGTTCAGAGAAAGTAATGACTTATTACACTGGAAAATGGTTGAAAAATCACTGTTCCGGGACGTAGTTCAGGATCCTTTCTTGGCCAAAACCAAACTAAGTCACCCGCATAATCCGTGGTTGAAAGTGAATACGTAAAACGTTCCGAAATATTTTTTAATTGACTGTAACTATTCATTCATTATATTTATGTGATTTTTCTAGATTCAAACTCAAAACCAACTGCGTCACCAACGCGWCAAACAGAAATCAAAAAAAGACGAAAGAGGACGATATTCACTGCGGAACAACTACGTCGACTCGAGGACGAATTTGACAAGCACCAATATCTAGTTGGAGTTGAACGACAGCAGCTCGCATCATCCTTAAGTCTCTCGGAAACTCAAGTAAAGATATGGTTTCAGAATCGACGAATCAAGTGGAGAAAAGACAACCTTCAGCAATACCCTGACTATATGGCCGAGTCTTTACAAATGCATGGGAGGGCTAGGTCGAGCTCACCGTTGTATATGAATGAATAATATCTTATTTATAGTAACGAYGGAGTAATTGAAGTATTAATTGATACTTTTAGAGAAAATAAGTGTATATAGGTCAGAAATAAATGAGAACGTCGCGCAATTTGCTAATAATGACTATCATATAAGCGTCAATCGTTTGTATATATATAGATATTGCTTTTGATTATAAAAAGTCGGTGAGTTTTTTTCGTAACAACAAAAATGTCCACTAGATAACAAAACCATGTATGGAAATAAACTATGCAGTGAAAAATAACTTAAATCTTGTGGATTTTGCGCGCATCATTTCACGGTTTTAGTGTCAACGCAAAAACATATCCCGTTCGGTAAAGTGAGTGGATCCGACARTTCCGACAACGTGTTTCCCGTTTTTGAACGCATTTTGCTCGAGTGCCRTGCAGGCGGCTTATAAAGGAAATCGTTTGCTGCAAAAGATGTATTATGCTCAGGGTAAAACTGACCGAATCTTCGTGATTCTGACTGAAATTRAATCAGTCTGACTCTCAGCGCAGCAAATATCGCGGTCGCCCGCATAAAAGCGAGACATACGCGAATCCTCCCACGAAAAGCCATATGTAAATCGTCTAGCATCTATTTATATGATATCAAATGGCTACAGTATATATACTGACATGCCTTTTTTGTCGATGACTTTATCATATGACTGACTAAAAGCCAAGGTGATTCTCAGCAATGGTCTGCTTAGCTATACAACTAGGAWGGTACATCTACATGTCCAAGGGCGTAGTTTAAGATTGATGAGGGGGTACGCCTTGTACTCAAGAATGTCGTAAATGTTGCACAAATGACGGCTAAAACTCTTATCTCATCAGAMATGTCTAAAAGTGTCTTCCTGAAGCAGTTTCTATTAGTGGTAAGCAGAAAGACAACGGATCGAAAGTCAAGCCTCGTCGGTTGGAGAGGTCGTTGGATAATAACTTTCCACACCTTGTCCGGTGTTTACCGCTATGGTTTGTTCTTTATATTTACGTTCTGGATGTACTAACTGTCTTTCTAAGTATATGTTTACGATGTAGTTTGTCATTTTCTATTTATAAGTTAATGCTTCATCTTTCAAACTGCGTGCTACAATAAAGTACCAAATTCCAAATGACTACTGGAGAAAATATATTGAATAACCTTCAGTATTCGTGCGATCACAGACTCAAAGAAAATGGAAGGGATTAAGACTTGTATGTTGAATTAAGTATCCTGGTATTATTTACATTAGAAAAAACTAAAATTCCAACTACTCACTTTACTTCCGCGGTCATAAAATTCCACATTTTGGGATGCCTGTGTTAAAAGATAAAATCATGCGCATTCCAACATATTTCTAAAAAATTATAATATTTGATTATTTCTGATAATTTCACATTTTTGCTCAAARYTTTGGCATTTTTGGGTGTTTTTGATCTCCTGATCTTGAGTAAAATAATCAAATTGTTTATTTGAGTTGGTCACGTAACGTGAACTTCCGGTCAAAGAAGATTCCGGAAGTCATCCCAACAACCAATRAAATTGYTCGATTCTCATTCATCGTGAAAGAATTCATGAGTGTGGYAAAGTTTATTGGGTGTGTTGTGGTTGTTTCCGATAAAAACTACGTGTTCTCAAAAGCCATATTTGCGTCACAAACACTCATGACTCAACGTCTAACCTTGGGAGAAAGAGATCACTATTCAMWTCAGGAGAGAAGCAGCCTTTCAATATATCAGGAAGACATAAAATGGCKTCAAGATCATCATGCTCATTTCTGTTCGCTCAAAACTTCSTAACTTTTGGATTCCTGTTGATAAATGTTGGATTTTCGGATCAAAGTATATTAAGCATAAATCGAAGAGCTAATGGGGACACAATTCAAGTTCAAACGGCTGTGTTTTGTGGGAATTATTTATGCGAGAAGTATAACGCTGATTTGACAACATCAGGRTTGGGAAGTTCTTGTATGTGTAAATGCAGAGGGACAATTTTGCAACCGACTACGACTTTTTATGACAAAGTTTCAAAATGTATGAAAAACAGTGCCATTACTAAAGACAGTAAGTAAAAACTTATATATTYTACGCTAAAAATCGATTTATTCGACCGCTTCCAAACATAAAAGTGGGATTTATTAGAAAGGAAGTTGTGTTGTTGATGAGTATATGTGGTTTCATGTTTCAGTGGCGATAAGAAAAGGCGGGCTGAATCGCTTGTTACTAATGCAATTAGAAAAATATATTAACATTAAAGTATATTTTGTATTTGACGAAGTCAATCAAAGCTTTAAACATAATTTTATATTTATTTATTTACTATTTATCTCATCTCATTCTTCATTTCATTTTCTATTTTCATGGACAATGAGACTTGCAATAACATGTCTAGAGTTCAATGTCCAGAAAATGTTATTGATATTATTATATTAATACAAAGTTCAGCATCTTGCACAGTAAATTAGTAAACGTTAAACAATATTTCATTTCAACATTTCAGATACCTGTACTATGAAAGAAAAAGATGGCTTATCGACTTCAAGTTTATTACTTTTAGACTCAAATATGACAAAACCAAAAAAGATACAACTTGAYAATAATGATACTAAGCAGGAACTGAAAAATGCACAGAGTATTAAACTATCATGGTCATACTACAAAAGTAAAGCATGGATTCCTGGAAAACAAACCATTTTTACTGTAACTTCAAAAACTGAAAAGGGTATATTGGGATTACCTACAAGTGGGCAGAAAATCTGGTTTCTTCAGGTTGGTGAAAGAGTGTTTAATTGACATTTGATTGACAGAACACAGGAAGCCCGATATATAATGACTTGCCATGTCTTTGGAGTGGAATCCCAAATTTTGATGCACAGAAATGCCGTTCAAAGAAAAAAAACCCAGGAATCCCAATAGTGTTTGAGTTTTATAACCAAAACCTTTCTTGTGCTTGTCTTTTAGGTATCCAACAATCTTCCTAAAACTATCAGTGGTTTATTAGTCAAAGTGTCACTACGATATGTGTTTAAAGATGGGTTCAATGCTTATCATTGCATTATGTTCAAAGTTCTTGGAAGACACAATGGTCAGTAGTACCTATCAACYGTATAGAGCAAACACAGGCAAATCATGAAATAAAATCAAATGAAATACTAACAAATAGCAGCTGTTTAGAGACAAAATGCCAGTATTAATGAACCAGAGCACAATCAAGATGAATTAAAAGTGGTCCCATGTGGATTCATCTTCAGTGCATTCTGGTTCATTGATACTGACAAATTGTCTCTAAAAAATAGCTGCTATTTGTTAATATTTAGTTTGATTGCATTTCATAGTTTTACTGCGTTTGCTCCATCAACCCTATATTAACAATATAAATGATTCKCCAAGATTAAGAGATTTATGGAGACCTACTTCAAAAGCAATAGTTGGACATTTAATAGTAAAACATGCAGAATTCAATGATAGAAAATTTTTGTAAAATAATTGATATTAGATAATATCTCTCTTTTCCAGTTATTCCAACCACTAGTCCTCCAACAGCAACTGCAATCCCTAYAACTACTTCAATAGTATCAAGTACAACTGTACCAGGAACTACAAAAACACAAACTGATAATGTAAATATAATGCTGATTTGTGTGTTTTTTTTTTTTTAATGAAATTCTGTTATTTACCCCATTTGTTTCCACTTGTAACCAGGCTTCGCATTCAACTTTGATAACAACAGAAGCTTCAACAACAAAACAAACTACAACAATCCCTAAAAAGCCTKCAAATGATGCATCTAAGGATGATAACCAGCGACAGTTGTTAATTGCTTTTGCAACTGGAGGAGTTGCTCTGTCAATTGCAGTGCTTCTAGTTTGTTTGGGAGTCTTCATGTATTTTCGCAGGAAACGGAAGCACAAAGCRAAAAAGGGTAAGACAAATTGTATGTACTTTTGCACACGTATTTAATATTATAATGTAATGGTAGATGGAAAAGTAGAATTATTTAGTAGGGATTAGATATAATCATTATAAATATTTTTGTCTTTGTCTTTATCAGGGGTCAATTAGAGGGAACGTAAACAATGTTATAGGGATAGTAATTTTCACCCTTTTTACAGATGGCCCCAGGTTCTTCTGATTTTTACTGTTATTTTTATATTGCCAGCCACCAAATCTAAATCTTCTTCAAGACCTCCTGCACCTTTGCCACCAACAAGCCCACCACATAACTATGAATATGTTGTGTACCCAGCATTAACTGATAATTTGCCTACAGCAAGCTCGATAGGTGAGTTCAGTAGATGTAACACTTGCAATAAGCCTTTTTCCAGTTCAATGGGAGCGACCACTGTTTTAGTAGACTACAGACTCACTTSTGTASAGAAGAAAAGAAAGCATGAAAAAATGTTGACATTACAATAGCTCTAGAAATTTGAATCTTCTTCAATTTGAAGCTTAGCCTAAGGAAGAGTTTGAACCTTCTGGGTATACAGAATTGGAGAAAATGAAATTTATAGGGCTATTATTGTAATGACCAACATTTTTCGTGCTTTCTTTTGTTTTTGGTAAGTTTCTGCACATGACTGACTGTGTCAACTAAAACAGYAGTTGCTCGCTTTGAATGGGAAAAAGGCATATCAAACTAAACACAACACAATACAATACTCAATAGGCAGTGGCACCATTTTGTGCAACGAAGCATTGTGGGAGTTCTTGCAGTTTTTCATGTCCGCTAAAACAGTCCTCCTAAGCCATGTATGTATGCTTTTCCTTTGTAAAACAAGAAGTTGCTGTACTGTTTCTTCAAAGAAAGCAAAAAAAAAAATACTTTTAGGGTGATTTTTTAGGGATTATAAACTGAACTTCAAGGACTGCAACTCACAACATGCTTTGCTGTACAAAATGGCAGCTCTGCACATTGGCTGCACAGGTGTATAACAACACACAGAATATCAGTTCACAGAGAAGACACTAACAGCAGTTTCATGCCACTATTTATAACCCAGATTTACAAGAAGGATGCATCATTTTCTCAATATGGAATATATTAAGTAATTTCTTTTTTTCATCAGCAGATAATGCCTCATATGGCCGAGGACCAGACAATGAGCTTATCATCAGGACACCAGCCATAAGCGTGGAATCTCTAGGATCAAGACACACTAACAATAGTTTAAGGTCCAACAACTCCACTGGCTCGGCAGCATTAATGGCACACGATTATACACATCTCCAAGACAAAGGCAATGACGARAGYAACAGTATTTATCAGCCCCTTATAAGGCCACATACRCCATGYGATGATAATGACAATGAAAAGCGATGCACTTTGCAGGATGAAGAAAGTAAAGAATACATTGAGCCTCGTAATAATGAGATTCCAGAATATATGGAACTTGAGCCATTAGAAACTGAAATTTGACTTATTGCATACATGGTATAAATGCACATAGTACCAGTGATAGCCAGTAAAGTCTAAAGATGAAGATCTTACAGATGGTTAATTATTGATGAAATCCTATGTATCTAGCCATAGAAAATATGCACACATGACCAGTGACAGCAAATGAAGGCAAAGGATGTACATAAACCTTAGATTTGATGATGATTATAGCATAGTCTGTTGGTACACTGTAATGCTTCTACACCCAGAAGATATGCATACAAAGTCAGTGACAGCAAATGAAGTCAAAGGATGAAGATTATTTTAGCAGAGTCTGTTTACGTGCAATGACTGTAGAAACAGTAGATATGCTCATAATGGCAGAGACAGCAAATGATGGGAAAGGATATAACTTTCATCTTAGTGCCTATTGATGCATGTACACTAAATATCCTCAAATCAGCTGAAAAGGTTGTACACAAGGTTTACATGTAGTGCATAGTGTACATAGATGAAGGTGAATGAAGGCTTCAGATGATAGGAATATATGGAAGTAGCACTACTCTCTAAATCAGTGCAAGTATATATGAACTAATATTTATAGACCATGGACGCTCAATTGCTGCTTAGTTTGTACAAAGTTTTTCAAAGATAGTTATTTATATCGGCCGTGGTGTTAGTAATGTACATAAATTGTTTTATTTTTTTTTAGTGAAGGATTATAATTTATTATTTGCACAGTTGTAGTGTGTTATATCAAAAATGAGAAGATAGAAAATCCTGAGTTTCATATATTTAAAATATATGCCTTAATAAAAGAGATATGTTAGCACTAATGTTGTCTGTTTAGTACAACCATATTCATTTAAATCAACAGAACATTTTCTTGTTAACTCCRCGCAGTCATTTGTGTTTTTGTGGCTACTGTTTCRTAGRACCCTAWGCCACTATGCTATCGTYGTTAAACGACTTGCGTGATGAGGTGCGAATGTAGTTTCGTAATTCGTAATACTCATATAATAAGTTAATGAGCTGATAACCCTTTATTATTAGTCCCTAAGACCATAAAAATRTTAGAGTGRAGTCAAAGAACACGTGAAATWRATATTACACTAATMTMMATWMWWACGCACTAATTGCATTGTTTTCTTTKGTGTCAGACTTAATATTCAAGTTTTGTTTCACGGATTTGATGCCTTCACTCTATTTGTTTGAAGAATGACTRATTAGAMACTATTAAACACTGACWATTGGTAATTGTATCACAGTTCGGTGAAACCCACTCCAGCAGACACATTGAGGTTAGACATAACTGCCAAATCAGCAATTTTACCAAATATGGTCAGGAARAGTCAAGAGKTCATTTCCTTTGGTTGACCAGCGGTTACTATGACGTCATATTGGTTTATTAATATATTCCGTTCCTTGATTTATTGGAAATTACCGTTTCATAGTACAAAACAGGAAAGCACACGCAAGTGATAATTTTAGAAATATCAGGAGATCGCGGAAGGAATAAACTGATAAAATCATCCGTATTCCCAGGAAAAGGAATGATTCAGCAACTAATATATTCACTGAAGGTGGTTGGCCGAAGAATTAACCGAAATATTATATTGCACCACATAGGACAGCAATGGAGCTGAACTTCAGACACACCGTATAATATTAAAAGCTTCTATTAGCCGCTGAAATGAGCATTTTCTAAAAGAAAAGAATATAGTAAAGTCAATAAAACCGTTAAACAAATCCTAGCTGTAAAARTTTTATAGTCAGATAAGAAAAACAATGACATTAGAGTGAAGAAATAGCGGTATTAAAGCAATATCAATGYCTTAAGATGGGTTTATTCAGAGTTTTGATAGTTCTTCTGAAGAATGATGAATTAAGGAATAGTTGTGAAATTGYAAATAGTATGAAGTTATTTAAGATTACAATTATTTATAGCTTTATTGGTATTAGTACGTGCGAAAGACGCAATTTGCTTTACGAAACGCAGTAAGTATATCAAAACCACTTCAAATTGTCGAATATTTTCTCTCAAAAACACACCTATTTGCGTCATTACCATTTCTTTTCACGGATGCATAACCAACTATAACAGCAGAATATGAGCCAGCAATATCAGTCAATAGAAGGATTTTCAAAAGGAAACATCGTATTTTATATTCTGTATGAAGTAGCGAATAGCTATCCAAAATGTCTCGCACRTTTTTCGTTTTGTTTTCATTTATTTCACTATTTCAAAGTTCAGTATGTTCAACTATAGAAGTGACACGTAATGCAGGATCAACAGGTGGAGACGAGATTGAAAACAAAGGCTGTAGAGGGGAAACTTGTACGAAGCATGGCTTAGTCTGCRGTRGAAACGGCTGCTGTAAGTGCGATTGCCCATWTWCTGAGCCTAACTATGTTGTTAGTAAAGGAGTTTGTAAAACAAGAGAAGAATTCAAACGAGAATTAAACGCAGGTACGTAACGAGGTATCATATGTTACACTTTAAAGTGAATTAAGTTCATGTCATTCTTATATTACCTTTTTGCGTTTGTGTTTTAGTAACAGAATTTAATCCATTATGGCCTTAGCATTAAAACATTTGAGAGGCCAGACGCGAATGCAGTGCGCGTTTAATCATCAGTGATTCATTATAGTTCTAAACAAAATCACAGAGCTTCGCAGTTGAAGAAATCGTTGAATCTTTGCATTAATTCAAGTTGAGAATCATGAATCGATGAGGAACAGGAATGGTGCACCAATGTCAATGATTGACAAATATTTGTCAATAATCAAGGGAAATATTGTTTAATTATAAGAGAGTCCATTTAACATCGTYACTTGACTGAGACTCAATTATCAGTAGACTGTCTAACGGTTTTATCATCGTCATTCTTTCTATATAAAATATGAAATGGTGTATCAATCAATTTCTAGTTATACTTTTTAAGTCGAAAGCTTACTTCAAAAGTGTTAAAAATAAATAAGGAATCGTGAAGAGTTGATACACTTTGATTTTTAATTACCTTTCAAGAATCAAATGGCAAAAAAGATTTAGGGAGAGAAAAATAAGAAACAATTGCAATTCTGATCGTACTGATCGTGATTTTTTGTGTTGATTCAAGTAGATMTTGCGCAGTTTACTAGACAAGTACAGTGACATCATATCCGCCATTTTTTTTCCTTTTCCTCTTCATTAAGCTCTAGTAATATTACAGGAAAGGATCTTTGACATTAGAAAAGCATGTCTGATAATAAAGCAAAGCATAAATTCTTGGCCTTAACACTTAGAAATGCTTGCAGATCAAATCTACTGGAAACAACRATGAAGTGCATGGTTTTCAAAAACTTGTCGGATCTAAACAATTGATACTATCACAAATGCGCGAATGAATTTTTAGACGTTAGATATCTCAACTAACAACCAAGAACCAGGGCTGATAGAGTAAAAACACTAGAGTGGTTGTCATTAACCCGTGAAACACACGTTAGCGTATTTATCGCTATTACACTTTGGCTCTTTTGTTTTTTATTGTCTAGACGCGACTGTTACGATCTATATTACACTCTAATTATTACACTTTGTTTCACGGGTTTATGAAAATCACTCTAAAAGTGTGCAACATAAATACCACTAAATACTGTTAAATTATGCTATTCTATTGTTTTCTATTGTTTTTAATTAAAATTAACACTATTTTGTAGTAAATAGTGGAAAGTGTTGCACACGTCATTTAATGTTTGTACTCTACCCTTTAGAACTTATTTTATAAATAAGGACATCATACATGCCGCTAACATACTGGTTATTGGTATGTGCCAGTTCCAAAAGCACTAGAATAGTTTGTTTATTAGACCTATCGTTATCAGTTAGAGTCATTTTCATCCGTCTGTGAAATAGGAATTATACTATTACCCCATTAACTCCAAATGGTTTAACTTATGAACTGCGACAAAACTAAAATTAGGCAAAAATGGTTTTGATTTTGCCTACTACACCCTAACAGTTACTATTTAAACACTGACTAGTAGTAAATGTTTCACAGACGGATGAAAATGACTCTATTGTAATATTAAACACTAACTAATAGTAATTGTTTCACAGACGGATGAAACTCTATAGACAATATTGCTATAGTGAAAATAACACATTCGAGGTTTCTCTATATAGGGAAGTAAGAAAAAAAGAATTTTAAGACATAATTTTCGATCAGTCTTTTCGACAATCGAAGATAAAATCCGTATCTTAGCGTATCCATGCAATATCCTCTATTTTAAATCTTCAGGTTGTGAATATGGCTTTGCACAATCAAGTAAGCCATTTGCAGACTTTCCGCTAACCAGCCAAGCCTCCGGATCAGGAACGTTCTCAACAGGCCGTTTGGAAGTGAYATGTGACCACAAKATCCAAGCTGGTCAATGGCATTATCTCGATGCTTTTGGTAAATGGCAGATTGGAGATCAAGACGTTTTTAATGTGTCATATAACCCTATTCTGATTGGACAGCCCAAAAACGATTACCGAATTGAAGCATTGAAGGTAATTGCAATTATAGTGGATAAACATGGACCGCGCAGCAGGGGGGACTGGGGGGCTACAGCACCCCCCGCCCACTAATAATTTTTCCGACATTTTTCCGAATTTTCTTAAATAAAGAAGCCGCTAGCCCCTCTTCCCTCCCAAAACAAATTCACGCTCCGCGGTCCCTGATAAATTCGATTTGTTTTCACTTTGAGACTWAGCCTAGCTATACATGTATACTCCYAAAAGAAGTTAAGTTCTAGCATTCTAGGAATGGCTTAGCCTTAAACTGGAGAAAATTCAAACTTGCTGAGCTATCACATTGCATAACACCACAGTACATCCCTCGAGTAAATTATACTCATATAATAGAGCGGATTTCGTATGACTGGGACACCGTTAGAGCGGATTTCGTATGAGTGGGACACCGTTAGGCGGATTTCGTATGAGTGGGACACCGCTACCGCACGGTTACCGCACAGTTACCGCACCTGGCCTGCATAATTTTGGTGAACCAATGGAGCACTAGAATTTGGTTACAGTACGATTACGGTCACAGTACAGTACCGTTCGTTTCCCACTCATACGAAATCCGCTCTATCATTGCCTATGATCATCACTGATGTGTCATTCATCATCATCATTTTCCACAGTGGTTTTCAACTCTCAACGCCAAGTACGCTGGTGTCATTATCAAGGTTTCTCTCACATGTGGGAACAATAACATTGGATGTACAATTGYCAAGGTGTCGGGATCAAAAAGATGTAAGAAAATAAAGCAAAGCTAAAGATTTGAAGTAGTTATGAAGAATATATGCGAAGTCTTGTGATCTGATTTTCGCTTAGGAGTCATATTTAGTAATCTTACCTCATTTTGAAGTATGAGTGGACTTGATTTTGGCGATCTTCTCAATTTTTAAAGCTTGATAATCATAAACTTGAAACTTGCAGATATTGTAGCGAATATGTTTCTGAACAATCGATCGGCCATCTTGTTTGTTTCCATATATGGCAATGATCCGGGAAAGGAAGCCCAAAACTAAAAAGCACACAGGGATCCCATATTAAATATCACTTCTTCCAAGAGAAAATCTGAATATTTTTGTTGTAAAAAAAATGTGATTCAGTATTTAATGCCTCTTCTTGAAATTATATAAGTCTTATCTTACTTCACCAAGTGGCCAGTGAGCTCTTGATTCTGAATTTAGGATATCTTTGCATTTCCAGATGATTTAACCGAGGCAGGAACTACAACTCAGGCCCCTCTACCGACAACTACAACTCAGGCCCCTCTACCGACAACTACACCTAACGTACCCACAGTGACACAACAAGTAATAACTTCCGGACAAGTACGTTACTTAATACCGTTGCATTTTTTATGAGATCTTACCTATCATCTTCAACAAGTATTATGCCCAATATTTTTAGGCTTACTTCATACAGTACATTTTCAGGTTCAGCTATAAGCTTTCTATCTCTTGTTTTTTGATAACAAAAAGCACTATGATATTACGTGTTAGCAATCGGTAMTTCCATTGTTTTCGCACTGATTTGRCGCGATATCTGAGTTAAWTAACATCTGAGTGTATATTTTGTTTCACCGTGGGTTTATCTTTTTATATGTTTCCTCTACAAGGACTTAAATAATCGTATCATTATCAGCATCAGCATCATTCAGAATCATTACAGATCATTCCGACTTTGTTTCAACAATGGAATACAATACATTTAGTGTAACTGATGATTCTCGTCATATRCATGAAATCATGATACGAAATGCATTTATAATCTTTCAGAATGATTCATTTGCTCCTCAATCCGCTAATAATGACAGAAGTGGATCCAATGACAATAGTAGTGACCCTAGCGCCGCTTTAATACCAGCTTTAGCAGTGTTTGGTGCTCTAATCTTGGCACTGGGGATTGCAGCTTTTATATTTTATAGGAGAAGACAAAAAAGGTAWTGAAGCACTATACATAACTAGCAAATAGCATATCACGTTAAATTTGAAAGATTGCAATCAAATCCAGTCGCCACTGATGCGCGTTGTATTTTTCCAGCCAGCTCGCTGAAAGTAATGTGTATGTTAGTCATGCACTGAATCTTTCTTTTGTTATTTCAGACGCGACCCTGAGGCAGGAGCTTTCGCAAATCCCGAYTACAACGTAAGATTCTACTTCAAAATAACTAATTGTGCATGTGATGTACGAATCGTCAGTCTGGGTTTTGGCAAATCCCGCCCGAGTTTTAATCAGATGATTGTGTATTTTTCTTTATAGGAGCCAATCTATGCTGAAGTAAACAAAGAGGCCTTTGGTATGTGTTTGTGCTTATAATTAAGATTATACAATACTCCAATTTCGAGTTCTGGTTTGCTCTGTGTTAGCCTCAAAACCAAGTAACATATTCTTTTTGTTCCATAGATAGCTCGAGAAAACGCATGGAATTTTGTGAAGAAAGACAATAGAATTGATWTRWAATYTCACACTTTTATTCTCACAATTAGGAATATTTTGCGCACAGATGAGAGCACTGGAGAATTTGAAACTGGAGTATTATTGCACACTTCCTAACAAATGAATCCCCCTCGCCCACAAAAATGCAATGCTGTCAGTAGGCAAAGTTGATTGGGGCAGTTGTGGAAGAACAGGGGGCTGTTTGGTGCTTCTAGAAAACACCTCACTAAATCCGATCCTGCAATAGTCTAGGTTGATGTATCTGAGTCTGCAATTATGAATTAAAACGTCGTTTAACCTTGAGCCCCATCTTAATAAACATCGAGTGTTTTATGTCTGTATATTGAATTTAATGGGTTTTATTTTTACTAATTATGTGATKGATTTCTTTTTCAAGAAAATCCTGTTTATTCTGATCCGGCCTTAGACGCAGGAAACAGAAGATCACAACTTGGTCCTCTGCCACATATACCAGGAACTGAATCACCTTATCAGCCTCTTGACAATACGACCAGGAAACAGGAAGGTATTGATTCAATATTTGATCACAATGTCTATCTTAAATAGGACGCATGCATGAAATTCCTGAAGCTATACCTGTAGTCACATGCCTACAAATTATATGCAAAATAAACTAAGAAAAGAATGGCAGCCATGATGGCTGTACAGTAATATGGAAGCAATGTCGTGATCTTTTTGTATACTAAGAATGCTGAAACTAACCATTCAAAATCAAATTATAGATGATGACGCAATTGATTACGAGAACCCCATCGATGGGACTCCCCCAGGGGCTGATTACGACAATCCACCAATCAACTCAAAGACTGAAAGTTCTTCTGACTACGACAATCCACCCGTTCAAGGTGYCCAAGAAAAGAGCAGTGACTATGACAATCCACCTCCCGTGGAGGGTGAGGACAGTGAGAACAATGAATACAAAGTCCCAAAGAGTGATGTCGTTAGTAACGAAGAAGGGCAGGATAGTGAAATTACAGCATTCTAAGTACAAGGATTTATACCTATTTTAGTTTCTAAACAACTATATCGCGTGAAAAACGAGTAGTTTTGYTACTATAGTATCACGCCTTAACGACTCCAATATTTTGCAGGCTCATTATCATGCAATTGGTTACATGTGAAATATGCCTAACCTTTTTTTCCATTTAAACGACTCATTTTTAGATAGACAGGGMTAGCCCTTCACGGTTTTGCAGGATCGTATCCGATAGGTTTATTAGCTATATGTTAAATAAAAGAAAACAATAGAATAGACCCCTTGCAGTTCATGGGAATGCAGCTACAACTGGAGGACAAAACAATGGATTCTAGTTCCCAAGAGGKYAAAAATCTTTTGTTTTGYCCTCCAGATGAAGCTGCTTTGACGTCACATGCAAGGGGTCTATTGAAGAACGAGGAAACGATATGAGTATTGTTTTATTCCTCCAATCACATAGAAATCTTGCAAACTCGTGAGGGATAACAGGTAAATAGCGAGTGTATGCGGACTCCATGTGGATCTCGTGCGTTCTATAAATTATAATTTTAAAATAACAATCGATCTCTTCTGATGGACCTATAAATTATGCCAGTAAATCAATCAGAGAGCGAGTAGAGTACAAACACTAAAACTGTGCAACATAAATAGTCTACCACTAAATACTGCTAAATTATGCCAATTCTATTGTTTTCTGTTGTTTAATACTGCTTTGTAGTAAATAGCGGGAAAATGTTGCACACATTTAATGTTTGTACTCTACTGTGATAGCTAGAGTGATCGCACTTAATCCCTGCAACTGTACAAACTAAATAGTTCTATTTAGTTGTATTTAGTAAATCGTGCATGCGGTACGCAAATTAAATTGAATTGATACAAATGAAGCATTTAATACCGTCTTGGTTCAGGTCCACTTTTAGTACAAATTAATACTACTTTGATTTTGTACAGTTGCACGGATTAAGTGTGTTCACTTTATAATACTGAAACAGTGATATATGTACAGTTAAGCGAGCAATGAAAATGCATTAGCTACAAGTTCGACTAATCAAACTGAGTAAAACGTACTGTGTTTTAGTTACAGTGTTCAACTATTAACGCTTAAATTACAGATTTTTTTTACTTGTCCAAAATCTATAATGGATAATTATTGTAAAAATTATTGTGATAATTATTATTGTAATTCTCGTGTGATTTTGCAATGATGTCCTCTATTAATAATTTTCGCTTGAAGTAAATACGTACTAAAAGCAATTTAATTGCATAAGTCACAAAAAAAAGACTGAAAAAAGGCTGAATTATCAATAAAAATTATTAAGCAAAGACTCGGTTAGTGAAAGTTTTCAAGCAAAGTGAAATTCATTCTAGATTAATCCCTCATCCAATCAGGGACCTGTTTTTGTTCTCGAAGCCTTAGGGGTTTTCAAAAGACAAAAGAAAAATATACAAATAATGATCAACAAATACCTAAAAAAAGTCWAATTCGTCRTACGAWATACCTTGTGAATCAAGTTTGACAGACTCTTTTCAACATTCAGAAAACGTTTCAAATYATGACCCGATTCCAAGTTTTAGCGGGATTACAGTGTATAATATTCATAACAGCAGCTGCCTCGAATACAGTTCGTGTAGTCCGTCAAACACTAAACCAAACTGGACCCGATAGAGACGTATTTAGCAATCCAAGCTGTAAATCGGGTGATTGTCCTGCGAAATCTAACTGCCATGTCTCTTGTTGCATGTGCCATTGTGCYTACGACTCCCCAAACTTCTTAGTTAAWCGATGGGAATGCTTGAAAAACGCGGATACTACTAAAGTGAGCTCAAGCAACAGTAAGTTACTCCGTTATAATGTCGATACCGAACGTCTCCTTAGATTTTACATGTAATAAACAAGTAAATACACCATTTTTTTAATATCATATTATGGTATATAAACCCTATTAGCGATCTCTTTTACGCTGTGTTAGCCTCAAAACCATGTAATATATGGCTTTTATACACTAACAGTCCGTGCAAATGCAAGAGATCCGTGAGTATAGAAGAAAATGGAAATAGTTTGAAATCTCACGTGAGTTTTATCTAAATTTCTGAATATTTTGTACACAATTGAGGCTAACACAGCGTAAAAGAGATCGCGAAACTCAACTATTTAGCGGACCACATATTTCGGGTAATTACAAAGTATATTTTTCATATACGAATTATAAGACTAGACTTCTGCTAGTTCGAATAGTTTGCCCTTTACAACRAAMTTGTTCTTTWWTTCTTATTTCGGGCAAGGTTATTAGAGATAAAACTAACTTAAAATAAACTCTTGCACAAGGAAGGATATTTGAAAACGTCGAATTAGCGAAAATTATCCAGCTCCGCTTGGTTGCTCTTGATTGGCGTTACCTTGGCGATCATGAACAATAATATACCAGAGGAGGGGAGGGGGGGGAAGAGCGTTAAAGAATTTAAAAATCGTCGATCGATGCCAAAAGTATAGGGTACAAACTATACTCCAACGCAGAAAACAACAAGAATATTTCCACTAAATACGTAGATTTTAAGGCTTTAAAAAGTCTTTACTATAAGAGCAATCAAATACTTTTTCTTCATTAGCTTGTGCCTTCAGCATTCGTCCCGAAAACGAGCCCATTGAAGTTCTATTAACGACSGAACAGGMCTCCGGGAAGGTCAAATTTACAAGTTCACACGTCCGTGTGAATTGCACTAATAACGTCATCGTTGACCGATGGGACTACCTTGACGCGCATGATCAGTGGGTCCAAGGACTGGGTGACGCATTTATTGTATCCCATAGTACTGTTGGTGGAAGGGGTCAGGACAAGAAGGATCTCTCCTTTCTTCAGGTAAATAAATTAATGCATAAAATCGGGTTATGATATGCAAGTGAGTATGATGGTGATTATGATTATGATGATAGAAATGATGAAAAATTTGATACATCTGGAGTGAAGTCAATCAACCCGTGAAAAAAATATATCTAACTCTTAAAGTATGTTTGACATATAATAAAAGGAAAAAACAATAAGATTAATAAGATTAATGGTTAATCTAAATAAGCGCTTTTTTTCTTTATCTTACAGTGGAATAAAAAGTTAGAGTCAAGATATTCAGGTCTGCTAATACGATTGATGTTAAATTGCAAAAATTCGCATCGAATTGGATGCCTGTTGGCCAAGTTAAACGGCACTTACACATGTAAGTTAGTCATTAATAGTATTTCACTCACAAGTAAAACTGAAAACAAATATGTTAACAAACGAATCTCATCTTTGGAACCAAGGAAGATGTTTACCCATGCGTTATGGATGATGAACGAGTGTTTAGTCAATGTGTAATATTGCACTTTTTTCATTTACAGATGATACATCTGCAACTACGACATCTCCAACTACGACATCTCCAACTTCACAATCATCAGGACCTACACAAGCATCGTCACAAYTGCYCCGCTCACAAACCATAGACCTTTCTACTTCATCGACCAGAAAGCCAACAACAACTGTATGTGCGATGATTATAGTATTAAACTATTCATATATGTTGAATAAGTTAATATTTCAAGATGTCCAGGGAGATGTAATAAACTTTCCTCTACGCTAATCCTTTCATGTTCTAGAGCGGATTTCGGCTTTCGGATTTCGGCACGAACCGTGTTTTTTTTTTTTTTTTTTTTGCACAGTCATACGAAATCCGCTCTAAAGAACTCCTGCGCGTCATCTATCAACACTTGCAATGCAAGGTCCCTGATATCCATGTTAGCTAGTTTTTTTTTGCCGAAAGGCAAAGGACTGATATATGAAAAAAGTAACAGTCTTTTGTGTGTCTTTCAATAGSTTAATCCAAACACCGCTGATCAACAAGAACAAGTGACGCATAAACAAGAAAAGCAAACATCAACGCCTGGTGGAGCGATCATTGGTGTGGTTGCTGGAGTCCTTGCTTTACTTTGCTTCATTATTATACTGGTCGTTGTGTGCAGAAAACGAAGAGCTGGGTAATTAAGAGGAATTTATCTGCATAATTGCTCCAGGTCCACTGGAAAAAACGCGCGCTTTATAGGTTGTAAATTTGATGAAAATATGATGCAATTGTCCAAAATTCTGTAAATTTAATGGAAATCCTTTACATCATATTTACAGAATTTTGGACACTTTCATCATATATTTTACATCAAATTTACAACCTTTAAAGCGCGCGAATTTTTCCAGTGGGATGGCCGATGGGAAGAAGAAGTAGCCCCTCCCTTCTCCCCTATATAGAGCTACCTATACAGGGCATTAATCAACTAATCTATTTTAATACTTTCGAATAATAGTCCATTAAATTCTTTTGACTTGTAATCGAATCATCTAAGAGCGCAACAAAAATGTAATATAAACTGTTGACATAATCTGGGAAAAATCGACTCTTGAACTCACCAATAATGTTGTTCATTGACAGCCTTTCGTGTGTTCAAAAGGAAAGAAATGAAAAGCCGCCAGGTACATTGAAGTTTATTTCTTTACCTTGCTTATCATAGTGCGTTTTTGAAGGATCGCCCTCATCATGCAGCAAGTTGGCTACGCTTCTGGGGAGGGGTGGGAAAGTAGCTYTAGCCGACGCTTCATCGCAGCCAAAACTGTTAATTTCATTTTATATTGATATGTTTACTCATTGTGATTTATCTACTTATAGTTACATATGYAAACAATGCTGATTATGAGGTACGAACAAAGACTGGTCCTTTCCGGTCATGACGTCATGTGTTGTTCGTCGAGATGCACTATGGGATTGAAAAAAATACCAACTGAAGAGAAATGATGCAATTCTGTGTTTCAGCCCGTTTAGAGTTTCTTAAGCCATGCAGGTCTTGAAGTATATTTATATATGCAGGCATATTACTCAACGGTCCTCTATGGCATTCTCGCGATCGATAATGAATAGAGATAATTTTTCTAGAGAATTTTCGTCCACCGCCATCTTAATATTTTCATCAACACCATGATGCACTTCGTCAAAATAAACATGACGTCATTAGCGAGAAAAGAAATTTGAAACTAAAAAGTAGCAATGGCACAAGCTTTATATTGTATTATATATATTACAAATTTTAATTTTTTTTAAATATTTTTAGGACCCCATATATGCGGAGGTACCTGAACCACGGCCGGACTTTGGTATGTTCATATCTAATCGTATGAGGAAGTGGCTGATCCCATTAAATGCTGTCTGATGAGTGCGTAGCACGAAACTCGGAGTTACAGCAAAATCTTGCCTCTTTGATATCATATATATGTTCATATCTATAAATATTTTTAATTTTTGATGCCAAAGCTGTAAGTTTTTTGTTTGTTGTATTTTCTTATGTATAAACTGTAGCTTTTTTTTTTCCTCAGACAACCCTGTTTATGTTGATCCAACGGCTGGAAATCTAAACAGAAGAACCAGGCAAGATCCACTTCCTGTAATACCAGGAAGCGACAMATCCTATCAACCTTTGAACGAGCTTACAAGAACAGCAGTGCARCCAGGTAATGAAAYTAAGYTTTCAAGACGTCCATGCATAATACTTGTGATAATTCAGCGAAAAATTAGTTAGATGAACGAATATTGAATGAATGAGTAAAAGGATAAGAATAAATGGTCAATTAAATATATGATTTTAAATTAATTCAGGTATTTTTGCCAACAGAACCTTCCCCTCCCCCACTGCCAACTTGGCATCCAATGGGAATCGACAACGAGGCACACGACTACGAGGGCAGGTTACAGCCGGAAACAGAAGACTACGAAAACCCTTCGACAACCAATAACGACTCAGTAAATGCATCGTCCGACTACGAAAACCCTTCGACAACCCATGATAACTCAGTAAATGCATCGTCCGACTACGAAAACCCACCGCAACCAACTAATAGCATTAATAATTCAATCAACAATACATCGGACTACGACAACCCGTCCAAAACCTCCCTACCACAGAACCCTCATACCAACAATCCAATCAAAGAGACTTTGGACTACGACAATCCTCCCCAAACCTCCCTGCAAGGAAAGTACGAACAGGGACCTGGAAATTCTTCTTCGGCCGTCGCAGAGGAAGAAGATGGGCCCCARTATTTTGTTCTGGAGCCAGAGGACACGGGAATGTGAAGAATACTTTTCAATGTGAAAGCGYTGTAACGCAATTAATGGTTGGGCTGCCTGTGCAACATTTCCAAAAAGATCGTTATTCAATACTCCAGAAACTGTTTATTATTGCCAAACTTTGGTATCCGAAGGTATTTATTGGTAGAAGTATCAAGACTGCAGATGTCTTATATAAACAATAYAGATAAACGTTCTTTCAACGAAGCCCTATCTCTAGTCGAGATGTGCTTTAGAAGAACATTAAAAAGATGGCTGCACACTAGAACACGCACCAAAGACAGCTTGACACACAACATGATATAGCGTATCTCGCTTAGTATCGCATGGCGTTTCACAAAAGGGAGAAGACCACAAATGAGAGTTGCTGTTCATATTTATTCAACACCATAAAATAATTAATAAATAAATAATTTAATAATTAAAATAAAGTAGATAGGCACATCTTATTATTACTTTAAACTTTGAAAACATGGTGTTGACTTCTTAGAGGAATACTCTTCTCATTCGCTAAGGCAGACAAAATGCTGGACTGAGAGTTTCTACAAACATTTCCTGGCGAATTTGGGACGAGCAAATCCCATTATTTAAGCAGTTTTGTAAAAATTATTTTTGTGAATGTGCATCGAAAATTTTACTTTAATAAAAACATTTTGACCAAATGACATCTGGAGGCCGCATAACGTGGAGACGGGTTTTAGGTCCCTTAAAAGGCATGATAAACCTTTGTGGGAAACCAGGACCACCCGTCTGCTGATTGGAAGGGAAAAACATGGATTCCAATTCCCAAGGCAAAAATAGTGAAGTTTCTTGCAAGGGAATAGAATAGATAGATATATCTTATTTGAAAACTATGGCTGGTGGAATGAGAATTTCACCAGAATAGCATAGATAGATATCTTATTTGAAAACTATGGCTGGTGGTATATAAGAATTCATTTGAAATCGCATCAATTGACTATAAAATGAAAATGTAAACTGGGTGATTGATAAACCATATCAGTTTCGAGTTTCAGGTGTGCTTTCTGGTGATTTGCAATGAGCCAATAAAACGTTTTACTACGAAACGAGAACCTCTTTCGAAACACTGATGTCGGGCATGTGATTCCGTGCCAAACACGATGTCTTTAGCGAAACATTTCCTCGTCTGATGCACTGGTGTGATCACCTAGAACTCAAACTTGAAATATTTGAAGTGAAAAAGAGAGAAAATGGCTGAAAGATGCAATAGAGAGTACATCGTTTCTTTATTTATAGCACTGCTAGTGGCGCCATCATCTACATTCCCAAATAAAACAATTTCTCTCAACAATACAACGCATGGTTTAGCTACGCCAACGATAAAGACATTGAAAACGACCACAAGTAGTTCTAGAGTTTATGATTGTACGCTTACAGCACAGAGGATAGCGATTRGCCTGGGAATTATGCTATTATTTGAGACATTGTTCTGCTGTTTCGCATTGTACCTATGGATTAAAGGCCGCAGGTAAGTTCAACAATATGTCGTTCACTGTTTCGATCCGTACTCGCTCATACGTTTACGTACTGTACGCTTGTATTGTCCTACGTCCTCAACGGAACACGCCTAAACGTCGATACTGACGTCCTTTCGTAGCGTTTTTGTGTACTCACTCGTACGTTTACGTATATGCTTGTCTTGTCCTACGTCCTCAACGAAGCAAGCCTAAACGTCGACAACAACGTCCTTTCGTAGCGTTTGTGCACTCACTCATACGTTTACGTAGTGTATGCTTGTATTGTCCTATGTCCTCAAAGGAGCAAGCCTAAACGTCAACAACGTCCTTTCGTAGCGTTTGTGTACTCACTCGTAAATTTACGTAGTGCATGCTTGTATTGTCCTACGTCCTCAACGGAGCACGCTTAAACGTCGACACTGACGTTCTTTCGTAGCGTTTTTGTGTTGTTTTCAATTCTTTTGAGGAAGAGTAACAGGAAATCTAGAAAATAGGAGCAGTTTGCATTGAATTCAAGAGATATGGTTTGATAAGCGCCTTATCTTCATTTGGTTTGTACTATATTCATACAGGAAATCAAAGAGCAAGAAATATCACCAGGAAATCACTAATAGTAAGTAGCGCAAGTGCAAAAAAGGCCATTAACCAAATACATTATATAAAAAGAAAATTAATATAAAAAAGTGCGGCTTTGCGACGCATCCGTGTTTAATTTTAGAGCTATTTGCTACCGGACGACATTCGTTATATTTGGTTGCCCCATCATCGTTATTTCACACGTYTTTCTTCCATCCTGTGCTAAGCTTATCGCCGTTGCCTACCACAAGTGTTCTCTTTTCAATGTGAGGGTTGGTTGTCTCTATTTGATTTAAGTTTACTTTACTTTTGTTTGTGACTTAAGATCCCAAAAGAAAGACGGCAACAGATTCAGGCTCAAGTCCAAGCCACCGAGCTCTCACGAGCAAAAATGGAAATGCCGGACCTCGTGAATTCAGGATGCTTTCAAAGTGTAAAGGCTCTTCACAATTGCCGCAAGAACAARGCGGTCATACACTGGACGTTGAGCCTGGGACTGACACATACTCAATGGCATACGATGAACACGTGACTGCWGCTGCGTCAAATCTTGCATCAACCAATAAGAAAACGGGGGAAAAACCAATCAATGATGCTTTTTATCACGTGCTTGAAGAACCCACCAGTCCATTACCACAGGAAGTCCAAAATAGCTTGTAYTACTGCGTTGAAGATTGTTTAGATTATTATAATGTATTGGAAGATCCGGACAGTCCACCACCACAGGGAGCCCAAGATAGCCTCTACTACTGCTCTGAAGACTGTGTGCGAAATCCTGCGCAGGGTACCCCCAAGAGTCAAATTAACCCACCATTGAGTACTTTAAAGAGCAAAACACCAAAAGAGAAGAAGCCAGCCATAAAAACARGGAAACCACAACCAAACAACCATGACCTTCACAACCAATCAAAATCAAGTTCAAAATTTAAGACAGCCAATCAGATAGCAGGAAAACCAGTTGAGCGCAAGTCAGGCCTGAAARATAACGTCATCCTGGAAATGAAAACCAGAGCAGTCCGAAAAAACACTTGAATGTTATGTTATTATCATTTCGATTCGAAAGTATTCACGACAAAAAAAAAAAAAACAACAAACAAACAAACAAACAAAAAAAAAACACAACAACAAACAAACCAAAATTTTAAAAAATAATAATAGTGAATTCTAATAGTGATATTGTACGCATATTATAAATAACAATTCATCTACAAAATTCAAATTTCACTTTCATAGAATTTTACATATGACTAGTGRTTAAAACGTTCATATGTAAATCACGATGTGACGTCAAGCAAGCCTGCAACTGCTATGACGTCATATTTTGTCARTGACGTCAGTATCTGCTACAGACCWATTTCTTTCTCGATTTGTAGTAAATATCTGGCGTCTAGTGGTAGAGGGCTGTAGAAGCTATCCGTAGGRTTCTCGCACTGAAAACATTCAATTGTAAAGCTTTAGGCTCTCTTACTTTGTACCGATGCGMATTTTTTCGGAWTTTTTTAGCTATTTGTCTCRTTTRCGTCATTTTRAAAATAAATGACGTCACATGAGGATATATGAMGTCAATGKTACTTACCCCACAYGAATCGTTTCTGTAATGACTAGTAAGAGATACCACGTGACTTTTAGGTTTKATGGTGTGACGCATGAATGACGTCACATCCCATGGYCTTTTTCTCATTCTAGTGTCCAGTCTAAATAGATGTCCCTCGGTGCTGAATATGTAATTAGAAGCGTCTTGATTTACGTGGTTTTCATGATCAAATAGCTATTGAACACAAACAAGATTTATTGTGAGTTGTATACAATAGATAGATGTATTACATTCGATGCAATACTGAAAACAACAGCAGCAATAACAACAACAACAACAACAAAAGCAGCAGCAGCAACAACAGAAGCAACAACAACAACAACAACAACAACAGCAACAACAACAGCAGCAATAGCAACAGCAACAACAGCAGCAACAACAACAGCAACAACAGCTACAGAAATAACAACAACATAATCAGCAACAGCAGCAACAACAGAAACAACAACAGCAACAAAATCTGCAGTGCTTTCAGACCACTTACTTACCAAATACAGATACTTGCAAGTCTCACTGAGGAAGAAGCTCTCCATTCGGTCTTCCTGTGTTTTATCAAGGACATTATGCAATGTTGCATACCCACACCTACAAGTTATCACAAAAACATTGACATTAAGATAATGAAAAGCAAGAATAGCTGCCATTGTGTCGACTTACTCRGCTTTAGTATGAGTTTCTAAGTCTTTAAGAATGTCTCGTCCAACATGAAGGTAAAATGGATGACGAGTAGCCTGAAAATAAATGTATTATTAAAGTATCTGTTCTCTTTCCACAAACACAAACCTACAAATTCCCCTGCTCCCTCCCCTCCCTCCCCTCCCTTCACTAGTAATTCTCTATGTTTTCTATACCTGATATAGAAGATATGTTGCTTCAGCTAATTCAGGTCTCAGTGGATAAAAAAGCACATCAGGTTGTTTGGTTCGCCAGTTAAATCGTTCTGGTAAAGCTTTGTATTTACGCCATATATAGTAAAATGTTGCATGGGTGCAGATTGCTTCTCTGATGTCTCCCTTCAAAACCTGGAACATGGTAGAAAAATTCAAGAAACATTTATTATATTTTGGGATATTTGATATCGATTTTGTCGAAGTGCTGATTATTATTGACCTGGACCCCTGCAAATGCCGCATGTAGGGAATCAATCCAAGTGTTCTCCATTTTAGCACTGTTGATATTGACGTTGACATGTAAGGGCGTGTCCCCACTACCTTCATTGCACTTTACACGTCTAGAAATGAAAAAAAGGAAAATGAAATTTTGAATGCAGATTAACTGCTAGCCTCCTTTGCAATCTRCCCTTTTGTCACAATTCCTGCGCTCATTTATTTGGGGAAGGACTTGATGCCCAACAAAAAGGTACTGTCATGTGAAAGACACTAATCAACCSAATTACCCCTTTCTTAATTGTTTCTGTAATGACTTGTACACTTCATTAAATCTTCTAAGGTCTTGTGGGTCTCCAAACATGATGTAACCCTGTGAAAAGGACATCTTCATCAATTTGACAATCTTCAACTAGCTGATGAATTGGAATTTTGATTGAATGATAGATTGACAGTTGAATGTATTGATGATTGATTGACATACGTCATATCTCAATACGTTGGTTGATTGATCAATTGTCGGAATAACTGATTTGATGTGATTGATTGCACAATTCTATGGTTTAATAAGATTTAATTTTAAACAAGTTGATATCATTTGATTAAATTTATGTTCATGAGTATCCTCTTTCTCAAAATTACCTTTAATAAATATTCATAAAATGAGTCAAGTCCTGCTCCAACTCCACTCATCTGTCCTTTCCATTCTCCTGTCGTAATATCAATGACATTCCCTGACAACAGTAAGCATATGATTCCTATAGTGGTTCATAATTTAAAACAAAATGAAACTCAATTTCTTCCTCACCAAATAATCCTGTTGTGTTTGAGCGATGAGACCACAAACTGCTAACTGCACGACGAGCCAAATTTTCAAATGTCGGATCATCAAGCAATCGACTTAAAATTCCAAATTCTAGTATTAGTGTCCCAGCTCCTGCAAGACATGTTTCAGTCCAACTCTCATCTGGTTTTCCAGTTTTCAAATGAACCTGGGACAAAATGGAATTGTGGTACTTAAAAATTCTGCTTGTCTAATCTAACATTGCAAAACTTGTAAGCCACAGCTAATTACCACATTGCAAGGTCGGATCAGGATTTCCTTAGGGAGGGGTGAGAGGCACTCAGTAAGGGGTGTAACCCACAAAAAATCATTACCGTGAAGATACAAAATAAGGAAAGTATTGATACAGATCTCAGGGGGGTGCGCACCCACCAGCTGGATCCCCCTGCATTGCCTTGCTCAGGCAGTTGCAGAGCATAATTTTTATTAGGGGGACTAAATCAGAACGTGACAACTTTTGAGAAGTGACAGATGAATTGAACGAATGTTTTCAAAATGCGGCCAAAATATCGGCCAGGGGGAGGGCTAAGTCCCCCAGGCAACACCGGCTCCATGGTGCCTGTTACTGATTCTTTATAGTGACATTTGCATGGAAAAGTCTATGTTACAAAGTGAAAATATGGTTTTGGGAAAAGGGGATGAATAGAAAGCAAATGATACATGACTTTACAATTATTTCAACTAAAAAAGTTATCAGACTTACCCTTGGGTAAGGTATTCCTAGCGGTGATTTATCAAATGCCTCTATTAATCTATTAGCTAAATCATGGGCGAGTAATAAAAGATCGTCATCGTAATCATCAGGGACCATATCTCCAAATGGCTGAAGAGGRTCTTTGATGATTAAGTGTGCTGACAATAAAGCACCCAGTACCCTGTGACAGACAGACAAGACATTAATAGTTACAATGTTGTTGCCATGACGCATCCACTTCAAGTAAGCGGCATCGTGTAACTCAGCCTAAACATTCACCTTATTGAGACTTCRAAGACTTGTACTGTRCTGTCTCTTTCAAATGAAACATGATCTATGACRTGTTTTATAGCGTGCTTAAACTCACTGCTATTTCCCATGATCTGAAACAAAAGATATGTACATAAACATTTGCCATACTAAATAGAAACCCRTTCCATCAACAGTAGCTTTCAGATACAATCAATCATTAGGGATACAACAGAAACATGCAATTTTTACATTGAAACAAAAACAGCTGTAGGAATATATTAAATCAAGGGGCCTTACAGCAAGTGTTCCCAGTGATTCAATTAGTGTAAGAGAGTAATTWCCCAGAACATCATTGATGTTAATATTGGACCTAGAAAAAGACAAAATGTAAAACACACACCCAAAAAAATGAAAAACATGACAGCAGTAAATTAAACTTATATATCACACTGATGGAAATTCTAGGGGGTTGTTTAGAATTAATTAGGTGATAAAAGTTTTATAACTGCATTCATGTGTGTCAAATGCAAACATATGGAACATTAATTGATAGCAATTGGCAAATAATAAACAAGTAAACATTTTGAATTTTTAATAATGGCGCTGAGAGGGGGGCAAAACACAAATATATTTACGACAAAATTAGGAGACATTAAGACTTCATAAACAAGTAGTTTATGAAAGGGTAAAAATTTAGCCTTAATTTTGAACATATGCACATCAAATAAAATCAAAATGTCTTATTTAAACAGCACAGATAATTGGATGGGTTAATTATATAAAGTAACGATTTTTTTAAGCGCGCAGCAATTAAGATAAGACATTCAAATAAATATACTTAATTACAGTTTTACTATAGTGTAATTTCAAGATACATCAAAATACCTRACTTACGGGTTTTCTCTATCTGGTCCTCGTCCAGTACAGTGAATTGGATCTAATTCATCTAAAGGAAATGCATACTTCATGTAGTTCTCATAACCATGGTAAAACATTCTTCGAGCATCTTCTCGTGACTGAATACGCTCTGACTCGCTGAAATACTGATATTTACTCTCAAGAAACTTTGCATCTTGAATATCACTTGTAGAGGATGGTAGTAACCCCTCTAAAATTGTTAAAAATACCACTAAAGTCTTACATTTTAAGAACATTCTACACTACATCTAAATACTGAACGTGAATCATCTGTGTTTACRTGAGGTTCGAGAGACTGGGCACCATTTAGCTGATCGCTTGTTCTTTTAGCCAATCAAATCAAAGCACGTTCAATTCAATTCATTTCTTCTATCTTATTTCTTTTTTTTTATTTCCATTCAAGGTCAATTGCATTTTTTGTCTGTAGATATGATTCTTTCAAAGATTTTTAATGAGATTTAGATGCAGGGATGGACCARTGAATTGTCTTAAGGCAGCTTGGGAAAAAAATGATCACAAATCACTGCAATCTTTTTTATCAGAAATGATTATTAAGCTTGCTACTTGGCTATGAAAGCATTTTGATTTGCATTAACAAAGCACAAATTTTGAAGAGTAAAAACACATAATATCCATGCATGAAACATAAATAAATGCTAATTAGATGTTAATTAAAATTTGTATACTCAATTTAGTAATTAGTACTATTTGTTTCAATGGTTAAGTTTGCCTACCCTATCTCCCCGGGTGGGGGGGGGGACTCCCTAATATCAAAGGGCGGGGGTCCTCGGCGTCCCTTTTAGGGTTTGAAATCAGTATTTTGGTCCCACTTAGGGTGACAATGACAAGAATTCCTACCAACTGAGTATTGTGGTCCCTTTTAGGGTATACGGCGACCCTAAGCAATCATAAAATGGCAACCTCGTCATAAACTCAATACGAGCCGACGGTGTTCGATGATTGTGTAAAAACAGAAATAAAATCGGTGAACTAAAACAAAATGACCTATCTATGAAAAAGATAGCAAACAAAGCAGGACTAATTTTTTTCTTGTTTCACTAGACATTATTTCACAGAAATATCCAATCAAAAGAAGCTTTCTTGAAGCATTAATTACATTGTCTGTCAACATTCAACTAATAAAAAGCATTTTGTCATGTTTTTGTTATGTTTTAATATCTCACAAGACATTTACAATGATGCCTAACATTAAAAAGCAAGTAGATTCAAGACTTTACAAGCACTACAGTATGACACTCTTGTTTGTTYATTAGTTAGTGCGTACCAAAGATCRGGATGTAATTTTCAAGATGTGTGGTTTTATAGCCATGTTTTTAAATAATAATAATTATAAACTATATGTTTATAACACGGCTTAGTTTTTGGATGCGGTTCAATAGTAGATCTCCTTGTTTGATGCTTGCTTGATATTGCCAGTTCTTGTGGTCTGGTCTACAAAACAGATGAAAAAGAGATAGAATATTACTATTGAACTGGCTAAATAAATGGATGATAAAATGAAAGACAAAAAGACTACTGTATGTATAGTAAAGTATGTGAAAAAAAATGGAAAAAAAAATAAGAAGGAAATACAAGACAAAAAATAAATGAAAATAAAAAAATGACAAAGTGAATAAAATGAAAAAAAAAAGAATGAAATACAAGACAAAAAGTAAATGAAAATAAAAAATGACAAAGTTTAGAGAAGAGTGATTGAATAGTAATGAAGATAAAAAGTATAAACAATTGAAAGAATTATTAATAATCATTTACCGGTTTGTTTCAACAATGCCGCCAACTTTGTCAATCTTACAATGCAATCTCCCCGCCGCTATAAACCTTGACAGCTCCCTGAACAAATCATTAACGCATATATTATAGAACATTTTTGATAAGCAATATATCAAGCATACTGCATGGCTTATACTCACCTATCAATGAAGGCTTCGCTAACACCAAATGCGTTTGCCATGTATTCTAGTGTAAGGCTTCTGTAAGATTCTAATAATTGAGTATAAGCCAGGATTCGCATCTCACGGACGTAGTGTCTGTAGTGAGGTGACATGAGCCTGTCTTGTTTGAGAATCTGTTCAACCTCAGCTGAAATAAAGATTATATGGTAAAAATTAAAAACAATTGATATTTCATTAGATAAATAGAGGATATTACGTGGGCGCGCGGAGATACGGATTTTATCTTCGAGTGTTGAAAAGATCTTGAAGAGATTTTCACCACGAGAAGATAAAATTCATATCTCCAAACGAACATGTAATATTCTGTTTATCATATAATTACATATAAAAGTAAATTATGCCGTAAAATACCTTTTTTTAGGTATAGAGAAATATAGGTATTTCATAGATAATTATACGATAAAAATGAGTACTTAAGACAATGGGACATGTTGATTAAAGCTCAATTAGCACCAAKCCTGTGTTAACAGTTAACAAAGCCATTTGAGGTAAAGCAGACATGTTTGGGTTAACATAGTAGAGAGTTTTAGATATGTGTTTACAGCGAACGCCAAACATCAAAACTGATCATGTGATCACTGTTTTTCTGTATTAACTCTCCATTCTATCGCGATTGTGTATAAAATAGATCTTTTTTTAGTGTATAAGCACATCACTATTCCTTTTGAAGCGTTTAGGTTTCTTTGAAATTTTGAGACAAAGCATGAAAACCAATTTGACGTTTGGCGTTTGCAGTAAACTTAAATCTAAAACTCTCCAATGAAATGGTCTATTTATCGGCTTCCTCTCATACCATACCTAAAGCTTTGAAAAAATCATCATAATGGCAATTATAGAAAGAAAGRAGGAACTTTTTGATGACAGGAAGCTGATGAAGGACTTCAAGAATCTCTGCTCCATTGACAACTTTCTTTTTGAGATCAACCCTCTCCAATGAGATAATACTGGCCAAGACGGTCAAAGTGACAAACTGCTTGTAATCCATCAATTCATAGGAAGTAAATGTCGAGATGCTTTCCAGGAAGTTGTTWGCGGCAGATTTGAAGTCACGTATTGAAAGGTAGTAGATGCCATGGTAGACTTTGAGTCTGTTTCGTCTGTCCCAGTCTCCTCCTTCTTCAATCAATCTGTGAGGGAATACAATAAATAGTTAATTATTTGACAAGTTAGAGATAAAAATGGTGAACTGACTGGCCAAGACTGGTTATGATATGAAAAATTATTGAGCTTGTGTATGGGAATACGATATTAACCAGAAGAATTCCTAGATTATTTTGAACACAAACATTGTCAAACCAGCTTGCTTTCCACAAATAAATGTCTATTACATGTATAACCAATGCTTACTCTTGTGCCTTTGCAATGTTCTTGGTCATCATGTCATTGTCGAGGTAAAATAACCCAATACGAATACGATAGAAAATAATATCTAGTTTGTAACCAAGGGCCACTGCTTTATCGTAACACTTTCTAAAAGCTGTAATTGCTCCTTCCTGAAAAGAAAAGTTTTCAAAAGAACAAAATTAATATGTAAGACAAGTATTTGCCATCAAAAATAATTTGTTTTCATAATACATCTGCAATATTTTTCAATATGGTGGGAACAATTGATAAACTAGTGTGAGCTTGATAAATTATAAATGTCTTGATAAATGTCTAATAATTAAGGAYAAATTACCTTATTTCCAATGCTACATAAATATTCGCCTTGTGCAAACAATGCRTCTCTTATTTCTGTTTCACCAAGATTTTCCTCAGCATATTTTAGTTTCTTTTCCAATTCCTTTAATTTCTCTTCATTGGCCTTTTTCATTTTGTCTAATAATGCTTGGTCTACTGGCCATTTCAACTCATGGCATAACTCTTCATATAGAGGGGCCATGTCTAAACAAGTAAAAGTACAATAATGTTATGGTACACGAATAAATGAATTTGTTTGCACGCCACATGTCACATCAAGAAGCTTTCTATGCTCTAAGTTTTCACCCAACTTAATTGAACTTTTAAGGTCTTAAAAAGTATTTTAGACAATTTCTTATGTTGTTAACTCTCAGGAAATTTATATTCCATCTTAGTTAAGTACGAACATCAAGGAAAAACTAACTAGATTAAAAGAAGTTTGACAAATTTTATAACTCGAGTTACAGTATGACACAGCAAAACCATGCCTTTCTCTTTGACGGCGACCATGATGTTTTTCTTYGCTTGTTCCTTGTTAACTCCATCAGGATTACATATAATAAACTTCCATTGTGAAATTTCTAAGTTAGGGTTGTTTGGAAGGCCTTCTTCTTCGAGATTTTCTACCGGCATTTTGATACCTTGTCGAAAACCTTGTCAGAATTTTCTCTCTCCTTTCTTCAATGTGCTAGGTAACCACGCTTGAAGTTAGTAGAGGTTACAAAGTTCTATACCACAGGAAGCCCACTATAAAGTACAGATACCGGAAAATACCATCAACAGCGCGCTTGATTCTTATGCATACCTTGCTATCTTGCATTTAAGAAGTGACCATACAAAAAATCAATAGTTATTAATGCGAAGTCGTGAAGTTCAATACAGAAAGAGATGAAACGGATAGGAAACTTAACGCTCTTAGAGCGTTTACTCGTGCTCAAGTGAAAGATTCACGCATCTCCCTGTACCATTATTATAKCGTAATGATGTGTAAATAAACGAGTATACTGCATGGCAGTTTTCGGTATGATTGGAAAGGCAACGTTAAAGGAGATGCTGAAGCTATTGCCATAACAACAGCGTTTATAAAAGAGATATACGTATTTTTTCGTTGCTTGAAGACTAAGATGAGTCCATGCTACAAGGCTGACTATTTATCCACTTAATTATCGAGTTTTAGTTACTAACATTGTCAATTGAATTTGATAATAGTTTAATACATACACTATTGCGGTGCCCGATGCTATTGTTATTACAGTATTTTCTAGTGTTGCAGAGCTGGCAAAACAGCACTCACATAAGGCTAATGTGAACAACCAAACTTCACGACGCTAAATTGGACAATAGATACAAACCAAAGATATATGTACTTGTKGCAGTTTTCGCGCCCTTTATTGTTATCCACATTAATTCTCTTGATGTAAAYAAATCAAAACAACTGGAAACCTCGCGACGCTAAAATGGACAAAAGATACAGATAAAAGATACTCTAATTGCTTGTAGTTTTCGCGCCTTTCATTGTTATCCACAATTGCATGCACTGTCCTGATRTAAACAAAACAGAACAATGAAAACAGCGCGACGCTAAATAGGACAAAAGAGTCAACTTCTAGCGTCTATATGTTCGCACCTTTAATTGTTGTCTATAAAATTTCCTTGTTATAAACAAATGTGAACAATGGATAACAATAGCTATTGTTTGGTTTGCAGTCACTCTAACATTTGATTTCATAACGTAAATGTGATTTCACAATGCTAAAGCAAAATGCTATTGTTTTCATTATTCACGTATTGTATACCAATGGCGTCGTTCGTACCCAGTCTGCACTATATAATCAACCCTCTGTGCAAGGCACCCATCACTTGTAGATCTTCTGCAAACAGTTTAGAGAGCTGATAAACTTCAATCATGGAATCCACAGGAAACAAGCACAAATTATGGCGTCCTTATGAGAGCGAGGACTTAGGTAAGTTATCGCAGTACCAAACAATTTATATTCATCAATTTACTTTCTTATCATAGCTTTTTGCTTGGTGGAATTGAGCTTTTTATGAYGAAAACTGTTTGTCTTCCAGTTTCCTCGAGTCGTCCTAAGAAGCGAGCTCGCATTTACTTCACCAACGAACTTCAACGTAATTTTCAAGGCATCATTCACAGTCCTCAAACCAAGGMAGCCATCAAGCACCATTTGAATAARGAATTGACAGYACAACGCAGTGGAATTGAGGTTGGTATAGATGTTTAGAACCTGTGTCTCTTCAATACTATGCTTTTTTACGACGGAACTAGAAAAATGACCATCTTTTAAAGYGCTTCTTTTCACGAACGAAGGCGGGAACTCAAGACTCTATGGCAGTTGTTTTGCTTTGTTTTGCCATACGTTTTCATTCAGATTGATATTTATCAATATAAATTATTTTAACTTAATGTCTGTCTATTTACTGTTACAGAAACGTATGAGAGTTAATTCCAACACGGATCATACTCGCTCAGCACCGCAAGCGCGTCATACCATCCCAACTATGTTATCCGCTGGTACAGCATCGACCTGGACAATCACCTCCCCTGTCAGTCATCCACTGGTTGTCCGTAACGTCAGACCTAGTACACCGCCGAGAGCCCGGCCATCCAACCACAGTGATACCGTCCCAAGTTCTCTAGACAGCGTTGTAATGGTACCTTTCTTTCGAATTGCTGACAGTCAAACCCAAAGTCATCGTTACGYCTGTGCTGCTAAATATCTCGGTTTTTATACAATTATCGATAGAAATAATTGACATTTTGAGAAAGATGTAACTGTAAGCTGTAAAAAATTGTTTAGATTTCAATTATAATAAAATGAAGTTGGATACTGAAAAAATTGTGTTGTCTTTGTGTCAAAAAATGAATGCACTAGTGCAATAATGCCTTTGAGAGAAATATAAAACGGCGCGCGTGTCTCTGTCCTCTGATATAAACACGGTGTGAGTTGAAAAACACTCGAGAAGCAAGAGAAACACTCGATACGCTCGTGTTCCTAAGCTTGCTTCTCTCGTGTTTTTCGAACTCCCACCGTGTTTATATAAGAGGACAGAGACACGCGCGCCGTTTTATATTTCTTAAGCAAAGAAGAACGAAATAGTACATTTGAAGATTTTGCAAGCGCTTCGTTGACTATGCTCTCGACAATGAATAGTGACGTCAACAATGTGAAAAAATAGGCATTCGAGGACTGCATTTGACTCAGGCCATTAAGATATTTAGTAAACTTTGAGTTTGCTGCGTTACAAAATGCCAAGTCAAATTTTAATTGCTTTYCTTGGAAATTCTTGAACACAGCACGAACYTGGCATAKSACTCTAAAACCATGAAAGCTCCTTTCAAATGGTGAACGGCGATAGAAAGAAAGACCCACAATGCATTTTGCTCCTGGAATACACTATCTTCTAAGCATGATAGTTGCTCATTGCTCCCGTGGGGGCCTGTTCGCTGGTCGCCCTGTTTCCCCGTGCATATAGTAAACATATCCTTCTGAAAGAATCTGAAAAAGAATTTTTATCCACGACATGGAGTTCTTAGAGGTTTAATTTAGCTGTAGCCTGACACTGATCTTTCTGTATCTGTTGACTTATAAACTCATGATAAATTCTCGAACGTTTTCTTCGATAAAATGTTTATATCATTTAAAATGTATTTTTATTTTTTACTCTTTATTCGCCTGATTATAATTTTGCAATAAAACACCAAAGATTCAGCTAAGTTTTTCAGTATTTCTTTATCAATTTTATGCGGATTGTCATTCATCCTCTTCAATTGTTAACATTCACTATATTTAGATTTAATARTGATTTGTTAATCAATATTAATCCATTTGTAAACTTTTATATCACCRAGAACGRAWATKTGGAACGCGTTCGAGTGTAATGTTCGAAGTTCAGAGGTCTTAAAATTGTGTTTCGTTGAATCCCGGAAAATCTTTGGCAACAGCTAGTATCCGCCTGGTATTTTAAGCACTTACGTTCAGAATTTCAAGAGATTATTGTTGTGGCGTTTATCAGAATACTAATAATGTCTGTCGGATATAAGTTCTGTACACATTTTCCTGTGATGATTTGTAAAACAATGGCAGCTCGTCGATGAAAGCCGTTACATCAATCGCCAGTACATCGGTAATCGGCCGCAAACCAGCACTCGGCAAACATGCCCACCCCTAATAATAAATCAACTGAAAAATGATTATGCAAACTCTGTACCTTTGCTAATTCCCGAGCTGAGCTCTGATTGGTTCGCTGCTCCCTAAGGATTTTGGTGACGTCATATATTAGCATAGAACTTCGCCGAATAGACTATCCCGATTAGGTTTATATTTCTATAAGTGTCTTCATAGTACGATGGTCTAAGAGGTTAGCTAAAGGTATGCTCTAGTGGGCGGCTACCCCCTCACTCCCTGGCCTTTTGGCTAAGACTAAGTTTTATGTTCACTCGGGATAGCGTGGAAGAGCCGAAATCTCTAACCGTAACGTAAGCCGATTCGACGCCTCAGCTTCATAGAATGTCTCGGGGGAATCGTCCCATCTTTTTAGTTTTTTATTTTCATTATTTCTTAATATGCCAGGGGGGGGTTAATCTTCTGCTGAAGTGAAAGTCCTGAGTTCGAGCCCTGCTGCTGGAATTTCTTGTTTTTTCTTTTTTCTTTTTCGTTTGTTTCTTGTTTTCTTTTTCTTGTTTTCTTTTTCTTCCTTTTCTCTTCGTCTTCTTCATTTCTGTTGCTACTTTGTTTGTTTTTCTGTAGAGATTTTTTTCTTTGACTTAAAAATATCAAGGACTAGCAAGGAACGCCTGCTACAAATGAATGGTTACAGCTCGATCACCCAACACGATGACATAGCGACCGGTATAGCGACGTCACAAAAACTAAAGTAGGGAAGCATGCACGCGGAAGTCTTGCAACGTTGTGAATTAGCTAAAAATATCATACAACCAATCTAATGAATTAGTTTTATTTTTGAGCATCCTTCAAGTTATTCAGAACTATTTACAAGAATTTGAGATAAGAAGCCATATTAAAAACAGCAGTATCGTAAAAAGTGCACAGGTAGTCCGTCCCTCGCTTTGTCAGTGGTTGAAAAACAACGCGTACGGCGCAGACACGAGACTGTAAAGCACATCAAGCACACAGTCTGTACAAAGTCCTCCGTGCTTTACAGTCTCCACATCCACGAACAATTCCATCAAGTTATGACTAAAACATTGCATTGATTCTACGGTTTTGTTCCAGAGATTAAAATGTCCGATGTAGTCAGCGGTAGTGACTGTAGGCTCGTCAGCAATATAATCAGCAAACATGACCAAACTTGGTAGCATGACGTAATCACGCAGTGACGCAGGAACAATCACGTGATGAACTGTGACAATGCTGAGGCAGATTATTTGCCCGTGGGAAACCTGGGTAAGAGCAGATACCACGCGTACTAGAGTCTTTGGATAATACATCACATGGTTGTCAAGGAAGTCCAGGAAAGCCTTGCCAGGAAGGTCGCTGTAAATAGAATCGTTGTAAACAGTGATGACTGTTTGCGTCGCGACACGTGAAACAGCTTCCCAGGATTCCATTAGGCCTGTGAATACGAGTGCACCAGGCGAGAGCCATAGCTTACTTTGAGCTTCATTTAAAGTCTTATTTGTGTTGGTAGTTTTCATATATATCGGACCTGAAAAACATAAGAAATGAATACACTGTAAAGAAGTGCTAGCTAGGTTTAGACGCTATGGTGCACAGGGATCCCAGCAAAACACAAAAGGCGCCCATGAATCCCTTTCCCAAATCAGTTAATAGAATGAAATTAAGATGAGAAAATATGCAAAATTTWAATAAAACAAATGTAAAGTACTAAGCAAAAGATGATAACATTGTGAAAGCATCCAATTTAAAAGTGAGTTTTAACTAATAACTATTTGTAACATTAACGAAAACCCCAATCCATTCACTGTGGCACAAAGAAACTTTTCAGCGACGAAAAATGAATAGTGAAAAATAGGGCAATAGATATCTTACCTTGTAAAGCTTTTTCTCTTTGGACATCATAGTTTGATTCCATCAAAAATGCAAAAACAAAGATAGCTAGAATCGTTGACTTAAGTTTCATTTTTCGCTTGATTCAAAGAGCTCAAAAAATACACATCTTTGCCGTGATTTTGCAAAACTCAACTGATTACGTCATCATTGTTTATTGTTGACGTCTACGCGCGCGATTTTCCGAAGCAAAGACTTTTGGGTAATACAAGCGAGCCCGTGTTACTGATGTTGGTGGCTATGTCAAAATTTTTCGGTTCAATTGGGACAAGCAGATATGCAATTTTTGGATAAAAAAGTGATCTGGCAATTTGATTTTTTTCGAGCCGGTCAGGTCCTGCCTTTCAGTCATTTGATGTAAGTATAAAGGGGAGATATCAAGAAAAACATCAAATTACGCCTTAATTCCGAGCTAAAACCGCATCATCAGGTAAGACAAATGTTTTTACTCATTTTTTCTTTCAAAATTTTTATATTTACACATGCATTATGGATATCGCTAATCAGCTAGTCATATGCTTAGCTTGGGTTGCCTGTGTTATGACATGACATCTTAGTTCCCAGTTCTCGGWAATGTTGCCATGATGAATTGGGTAAAGTTCGTAAAAACATTTTCMAAAGGTTTTATTGTGAGTGTACCTATTTCTATTGCTATTTATGATAACATTGGTAGCGTGTCTGTAATCCAAGGGTCATCGATGAAGGTAATTTTTGAAAAATCGAACGTATAAGCTTAAATCATCGAACTTTGTCCCAACAACTTCATATTTTTAATAACTCGACTTATCCCTTTTTTAGCCCTGTCTAAATCCAGATTACAGATACAGGGATATAGTAACTATCAGAAGAATAGGCCCGGGATCATATACGAGAATTCATAGAGGAGATGTTGTATCATTGTTGTAAGTACAGAGTACAGGTGATCGAGGAGAGAATCTATCTTCCTACGTGCATTAATATTTGTATAAGCTTCAATAAAAGTTAATGTTTATCATTTCAGAGACCCAGAAGATCCAAGCAGAACTATTATAAAAAGAGTTATTGGTTTACAAGGAGATACTATAAAGTAAGCCTTTTGATTTCCTCCAACTGTGCTATCTAAGAGTGCAGGCACATAGCATTTGACTAGGCCAGGCTCATTGCTTCCATCAGYGTGTCAAAGCAAACAGCTCCTATTAAGGTATTGTAATACGAGCAACAAAGTTGTCCAACTGATCTCATTTACTGCTAGTAAAATGCACAATATGCTTTCCAACTTGTTTTGCAGCAATGCCTTTAGAGAAGTTGGACGATTTTGCTTCTCGTTATTACCATACCTWGAGCTGCATAAACAMCATWATTGTAAAAATGGCTTTCTGCTTCTGTGGCCCCACAATTTTGGCCTAGTAGTAAATAACAAAACAAATACCAACCCAACTCAAATCTTCAGTGCTACGCAGGGTTAATTTTTGTATAATCCTGATTTACAAATATTTAATATTCAATATTTCACACTCATACATATTCAAACGAGYGTTAAAACCCCTGCTCTTTGCTCGCTTTGAAAGCAATTCATCAAAATCCTGATCCCCTGGAGAAATCTTGCTGTTAAAAGCACGTTTAAAACAAATCACGTCCCCGTTTAGTCCCCCGCTAGTCCTTGTGGGATGGGGGTGGGAGGTGGGGGTTTCAATTTATTGACAAGTGCAGTATGCTTAATAATTAGACTATGAGGTCTAATTATTGTTAGTATCCAATGTTTGGTGTATACTAAGGAATTATTCACAGGTATCTATCATTGCTAGTTCATCTCTTGTTGTCCTTCAGAACTGTATTAAAGGAGACTTTCAATAACATCATATAGGTGCTTATATTTTTTATATGCTCATATTTTTTACAAGCAGCATAATTGTAATTTATGATTTCTGTTGGCATCATCTTGTGTTCTTAAATCTTGTCATTGTAGGACTTTAGGGTATAAAAATAAATATGTGAAGATACCAAAAGGACATTGCTGGGTTGAAGGAGATAATCACAAAACAAGTTTTGACAGTAATACCTTTGGACCAGTAAGTACACATACAAGAATGAGACTTTTCTTTTAAAAATATTTTAGTCGTGGGCTTCCTGTGTAATAAAGGGCTATTTACACAGGAAGCCCAAATATAACATATACTAACGAATATATTTTATGACTTGGTAGGTGGCTGTTGGGCTAATTTAYGGGAAAGCAAGCCATATAGTCTGGCCAATAAGGAGRTGGAGTAGCATACAAACCCTACCACCTGACAACAGAGTTCCTCTTTCTAAAAAAGAATGTGAAGAAATTGAAAGAATCGAATCACTGCCTACAACGCAAAACGAAAGTCCGATCGAGAGTAATGACTATAATTTCACAGACTATGAAACAATGGACGACTGTGGGTTATTACCAGGAAAATTTGGCCCTGTTAGTTAGGTTTTATATATTTTATAAAGAATGATAATAAAAAAATGTTCTTGCAAGCGAAAGAAAGGGGCTATTCAAAAAGGTTTTCATTAATTAGGGAAATAGAGGCAAAAGGGGAAACAGTCACCCAAAAACGGGCAGCGTTTGAATATTTCGATAATCTACCCCACCCTGGCAAAAAGAAAAAAAAAAAAATAAGCGACAAAGAAACAAAATCAAAACAGAAAAGTAACAGAAAGTCACATATGCAGCCCTATAGTTCATTCCTAGATTCTTTTTAGGCCTCTCTGTTGGTCAAGGTGTGAAAAGTCTATATTTGTCTGTATTTTAGTTCCCTGACATGCCCTGACAATTTTCAGTGCCACGCTTTTATATCCTGCTGTCCCCAACTGGAAACTTTCTTGATATTAAATAAATACTGTTACACGTTTTCACTTTAAAGAGTGAAAGAGTCGGACTATGAGTTGGTATCAAAAGTGTAATCTTTTACCAGTATTCTCTTTCATTACTGGTTTTTCGTAGTTTTTATAAATCACTAGGACACTAGGCACATTTTTTTTCAAATCCAGCTTTTGAAATGTGAACTGTACACATGCAAGGCAGCACTCAACAACTTTAAGTTAGGCTAGTAGAGTGCACGTCACATAAGCATGAAACAATTCTTAATATGTATTGCTAAATAAGACTTAGTTATCATGCTTATGTGACTTGCACTCTATTATCCCATTATTTCATTGCATTTTGTATGTAATGAAAGATGTAATTGTTTGAGTTCTGACGATGCAGTTTTTAGTCTACGTGGAATTAACAACGCTAGCTCTTTGATGTCATCAAGATGACGTCATCATGGCACGCAACGTAAATATAAAACACTAGCATCCGGTCATSTTAGCCCAGGCAGTCAAAGATTATCGAGTTTTAAAAATACACCATGGATGTAGTGTTAACAGCTATTGCTGTATTCATTGTCCTAGCTCTAATATACTGGTTTGGAGTTAAAGATTATGCAGTGTTGTCCGATGTACCCATTAATGGCCCAAAACCATGGCCGTACCTTGGAAACCTTCCTGATGTCATCCGAGATGGCGGCATGCACAAGACGTTGTGGAAGTACTTCAAGCGCTTTGGCCGAGTCCACAAGTTYTACGTTGGACGAAGACCTGGTTTAGTTGTCACTGATCCCGAAATGATCAAGATAATCACTGTGAAAGAGTTTGATAAGTTTCGCAATCGACCTGAGTTCCTCAAACTCAATCCTCCGTTGTCTTTTGCTGTTGGATTTGCACARAATGACWCCTGGAAGCGRATTCGCACTATTATAACACCAACATTTAGTGGAGCAAAGCTTAAGCAGGTCCTTCCTATAATACAAGCTTGTACGGACGAACTGGAGAAGAAAATGGAGCGGTTTTCKCGATCTGGTAGGTTTTTATCATCCTATGGCATTTGGGTCATAAGGTTACAGTCGACCCTCGCGGGGATGTCTTCAGACTACTAGTTGAAAATCGTGATAGCGCTACGTAGATTAGACTATGTACTTTAATAATTGAAATACTTGTTTGCAAAGAGATTTGAGTTTTTAAAGTCAAAGCGAGCTTTTATTCCGTGTGTTAAGGGAATCCGTCGACATCACATAGGTAATTGCGTGTCTGAGGTATATGAATCGGTCTTCATGCGGTTGCAACGTTAGACGGGCACCGAAWAAGAGCAATCGTAAAACTTTCCAGTAAAATGTAACTATTTGCATAAAAKTTTTCAACATTTGTAGTGAATACGACAAAGCTCCATAAATTTCACGGGTCATTCTTTGCKCAGTGAGGCTAAACGGTAGATCCAGGATCGTTAACAAACCCTGCAAAGACTCGGTGGAAGGGGAATATTGAATATTGAATGTCGTATTTCAAAGTCTTAGGAATATTGAAAATTTCCTGAAAAATGTACAAAATACGGAATATTTTAATAAAACACACGCAAAAGCGGGGATAGGAAATACTCAGCCAGCTTAATAAATTTATGAATTAAAYGAAATTAAAACATAGACTACTCAATGATGCTCTAAATCAATCAATACTTATCTACTTACTTAAAAACTAAAATCATAAGGAATATCCTCCGAAATATTATCAAGGAATGGGCATATTCACCCCTGGAGAATAGCGGAATACGGAATATCTTAAGTTGAATTAAATATTGCCCTTTCTACCCCCGAGCAAAGACCCCCTTATGGATCTGCATCTGGCTTGGATATGAATTAAAAACATAGCTAACTTATTTTTTTTTTCCTTCAGGGGAGACTGTGAATATCACTCGCATGTTTTCTCTCTACGCCCTTGATGTCATCATGAAATCAGCCTTTGGATACGACATCGATGTACAAAACCAACCAAACGATGATTTTCTCACAGCTGTCCGAGCAGCTCTGAATGTCCCTCTGTGGAAACGAGCTTTTACAATGTTTCCTTTTTCTAACTATATCAGTAAAGTTTTCAACATTCAAATTCTATCAGGCACCGAATACTTCATCGCGATTGCTCGAAAAATGATTTCTAGCAGGCAGCAAGARGGATCTGTAGCTAGACGTGACTTTCTTCAGTTAATGCTGGAAGCACACGAAGAACAAGTGGATGGTAAACCAAAATTAAGCGATGAGGAACTAGCAGCACAATGCCTGGTTTTTCTCCTTGCTGGATATGAAACCTCTGCGACAACTTTGACAAGTACTGCATACTTTTTAGCAACTTATCCTGAAATCCAAGAAGGACTTCTTCAAGAKCTTGACAAAGCCAGAGAAAACAGCAACCATTCATCTGTGTATGATCTGGCACACCACATCGAATACCTGGATAAAGTTATCTGCGAAGTGCTTCGCCTATGCACCCCTGGGTTCAATCTCATCAGGACCTGCAACGAAGACGTAGTCATCAAAGGAGTACGTTTTCGCAAGGGCGTTGACGTCAATATTCCAAATTATTGCCTACATCGTGATCCCGAGGCCTGGGAACGACCTGATGACTTCTACCCAGAGCACTTTTCGGCTGAAGCGAAGGGAAAGCGCAGTCCATATTCGTACATGCCATTTGGAAATGGTCCTCGGCAATGCATCGGCATGAGATTTGCCCTTACCGAGGTGAAAAGCACTCTTTTAATGGTGTTGAAGAAGTACAAGTTTGAAAGGTGCCCTCAAACCGCTGACCTCGAACACAGGTCCTCGGTGTTGATGTTGCCAAAGAATGACGTCGTTCTCAAAATAACAAGACGTTGATTGTTGTTGATTAAACGAAAAGTGCGCAAGAGGTCAAGCCTTTGACAACCCTCCTTTTTATTCAGGAGAGTAACGTAGAAACTGCTGTATTTTAAAATCATTTAAAATAAGCGGAGTTGCATSGTGTACTTATATTGCAATATTTTATAACAAAATGGCGGACGTGTGCATTTGTATTAAATACTTAGCTAACTCTGTCAATTAAGGGACTGCAATAATTACCAGGAGGGGGGGTCGTAAAACCACGGAAAAAAGCAGAAAATTAGTTAGAACCCCCCTCCCCCCACCTCCGAAGCACAAGAAAATAGCTCTTACCTCCCCTCTGCTATATAAGAAATAACGTCGAACCCCCCCCTCCCCTCCCCTCCCCCCAACTATTAACCTTAGTTATAAAACAAGCACAGGCGAGTCTCAATGGGGTTAACCGTGAGCCGTATAAAA